TAAAAAAGCCTCTATAGAAAATGAGATTGTCCAAATACATTCATTTAACGTATTCCAAAGAGAACTTAATAGATTTTTTAATTGAACATGGTTTATTAGCAGCTACATCGAATTGCGATAACTGTAAAGAAATTATAGATTTAAATGAAGAAACATTGTCATTTACATGTAAAAGAAAACACGTTATTCAAAAAGAACATAAAAAAAGCATACAAGCTATATGCAATTTTAAGAAAAGTGCCACGGAGGGAACATGGTTTGATAAGATCGACACAGATCTCGAAATAATATGTAGGCTTACAGCGTATTTTGTTATGGTGCCACGTACACGGCTAAAATTTTTGCGTTACGAAACTGGTTTAGCAATACCTGTGCTTAATGAAGGGATAAAATCTTGCAGAGAGGTAAATATGGATAGATCAATAATTATCTATACATAATATATAAATATGTACAATCTAAATTATACAAATTATGTTAACATTAGGTATGTATATATTACATGGATATATCTTTAATTATAATATGTAATGTATAAATATATACAATTTAGATTAAATAAATTATATTAGGTATGCGTATACTGGGCGCAAAAGAACAGTCAAAAGCTTGGAGGTCTAGGACACACTATCGAAATCGATGGAGCAAAAATTGCCCGAAGGAAGAATTGTGATGTGACCAAAAAGATCAAAGGCAATTGGGTATATGGTGGATTTGAACGAAAAACGAAAAAGATCTTTATTGTACCAGTAGAAATTGGAACAAAAGAGGCATTGTTACAAACAATAAAGGAATGGGTATTACCTGGAACAAATATTGTTTCACATTTTTGGAAGTTTTATAATTGTCTTAATGACAAAAGCTATAAAAACCTGAAAAGGAAGCATTCATACAAGTTTATTGATCCCAAACGTGATAAAATAACTAATGGTAAATATATACAATTAAATTTCAATAGTATAACATCAAAGTATTATCATATTTATTTTGATTTGTAGATTCACATCTTCGAGACATTGAATGTACCTGGAGAGAAGTTCGAGCACATATGCCAAGACCTGCGTCCTATTCTCTTCAATGTTTCAGTGAATATCTTTTTAAACGCGTTCATGAAGTAAATGTACGCATAGAAACGTTTTTTGATATTATTGCAGAAATGTATCCACCAATCTATACAATACACGAATTAAGTTAAATCAAGTCTTAGAAAATAATCGATGTCTCAGAAAATAATCAATGATCGCATTCAGCAGACTCAACTGTTGCGGAATAGATCTGTGAGTGCTCATTGCTATTGGTGTATTCTTTTAGATCATCTATTAGCAGCAACCGCTCACGGATCCACTTCATAACAGTTGAGTCTGTTGAACGCGACCAATGTCTCAGTTTAATCGATGTCTCAGAAAATGTTGAATTCCAATATTGCGAACATTGCAACAACATTATGAAATGTAGATTCGATGTCTTATATAGATGTTACAAATCAACATTGCTTCAATGTATATGCAATGTAGATTTTATTGATTCAATGTCCATTCAACATCTATATCTTCAATGGATAAACAGATATATGTAGATTTCATGTACATTAAGTATATTTTATATTTTTGAAAGAATTGAATAAAACATGTAAAGATTAGTCCTCAAATCGTGAGAAAAATGGAAATTTAAAAAATATTAATCTTTTTTATTATTTAAAATTAATTCACGTCTGATCTACTTTTTTTAAATGTACTATTTATTTGTAGACATAAAAGTATATTTTGACATGCAAAAAAATCGTAAATAATAAAAAAAGAATCAATATTATTTTTAAGATTTATTTTTCCTACAATTTAAAGACTAATTTTTTATGCATATATTTTATTCCATTTTTTTTTTAAATAAAAATGTACATAATATAAAGGTAATTTTGAATCTTCATAAAATCAAGAATCAATTTATATAATGAATTTTGCTTTTATTGTGATTAAGTAAATTTGTATATTTTTCTTAAAACTCTTACATTTTATATATTATACGATTATTATTATATTTATATTTTATATATTCTGTAATTATAAAACTTTCTATTTAAAAATATTTATTATTATATTATTGTAATACATCTTTTGTAACTTAATCTAAAAATAATTAGCTAATCTAAAACTTAATCTACATTTTTGTGCATCTTTTACTCATTAACCACTTTGTTGCTAACAAAAATATTTTTGTTTCTTAATAAAGTTACTTATGTTATAGCAACATATTTGCAGCTAAATATATATAAATGTTTATAGTTTTACAATAATCAGTGGTATGATTGAGAAAGGAGTAAGTATACTATACATAAAAAAATATATTTAGATCATAACATTTTTTAATATAATAAGACTTTGTTTTCAAGCAACATTTTCAACAATTTATAGTAATAATAGTAAAATTCATTGTGCGTGAATATTTTGTATGTTTGCTTAATTACTCAATACAATTATAAACGCAAATATAATAGTTTTATAGTGAAATTCGTTAAATCACATGTATCCAGCGAATATTTAAATTTTCCCGAAAACAATTTCCATATGAATAAATTTTATTGTACATTTTAGACTTGGTGTATAACTTCAAAAGCCAATTGATCACATGCACATTGCGTAATTTCATTCCAAAGAGATAATAAAAATTTAAGGACACTTAAAATATACTAAAAATAAGAATAAAATATACGTACCTGATGCTTAATTATTATTTCCTGTAGTTATCATTAATAACCTCGCGATCGAGCATAGCCAAGAAAATTTAATTGAATTCTACACACGAGACCAACAAGACAACAAACCGTTTGTTCAATAACAGTTGACACACCAGACACGAGCATAAATTGAACCATTGTATAAAGGCTGTACAATGTGCACTTTATTTCCTGTATCTTGCTTTTTGTTATTTTTTACATCTTATCTTTTTACCTGTTATCCCGTTTCTCGTTTTCTCCTCACCCGAGATAAAAATTAACGCACTTTGGAAGAAACGTGAATTACGTGGCAAAAAATATAATTGCCAATGAAACAGTTGCAAAGAGGGAAAAAAAGCAAAAGGTAAAAAGCAAGAAACAGGAAACAAAGAGCACATTGTAGAATAGACTTAAGAATAATAAGACATTTCGTTGCGCATAATGGCGTCAGAAAGGTGTGTATTTATAGTCGATTCTTATATTTCAGAATATCTTAGGTATGGTATCTGATGATATCTTTAAAATGCTATAGAGTGGTATTCATAGTCGATTCATATTTCAAGACTTTTAAGTAATGTCTTAAAATACTAATGCGACCCTCTGATTGGCTTATGACATCTATTAAGATACTTAAGCAGCCTTAAAATTAAAATGGGCCTTCTATTATAAGCCACACTTCATTTAAGTGTTAAATAATAAAGAATTTACCAATCACAATCGAATGTGAGAAGAATAATCGACTGTGAGTGGTCAATTTCTTATGACTTAAGGCTGCGCACAATGGAGGAACAGATATTAGATATTAAAATATTAACCTATCAGATACCAGTTATGCATTTCATGTGCGATAGGCCTAAAGGTTGATTTATACTGGCCGTAAACTGTTAACTTATGCCGTAATCTGTAAAAATTGACCAATCACAGTCGAATGAGAGGGGAATAATCGATTATAATTGGTCAATTTTTACAGATTACAGCATAAGTTAACAGATTACGGCCAGTATAATCCAACCTTTACAGTGCCTAAACATAACATAAGATTGCTGGACCAATGAGCATCTTAAGGTTGATTTATACTGGCCGTAAACTGTTAACTTATGCCGTAATCTGTAAAAATTGACCAATCACAGTCGAATGAGAGGGGAATTATCGATTATAATTGGTCAATTTTTACAGATTACAGCATAAGTTAACAGATTACGGCCAGTATAATCCAACCTTAATATTAATCAATATGGCAACTTTATGCTGGATGCTTATTAGTTCAACAGTTTTATGTTATGCTCATGTTCTATTAATGCATTTCATGTGCGATAAGCTTAAAGACCCAAGACACAATGCGAGGGAATAGCGATAGCGATAAGTTTCAACCTATCAAAAATGTGTATTCCGGTGTATTCGATTTCTGATAAGTTGAAACTTAAGGGCTACGCAGAATAAAAGGAACAGGGAACAGAGAACAGAGAATAAGAATTTCAACCTATTAGAAATCATATACTGTGGAATAAACAGTGTGTATTCCATAGTACATGATTTCTGATAGGTTGAAATTCTTATTCTCTGTTCTCTATTCCCTGTTCCTTTTATTCGGTGCAGCCCCTATCGCTATCTGTCATGAAAAAGTACCTTAACGCGGAACGAGAGCAGAACCAATAACGAGCATTCCGTGTTTCTAGAGAATCTCGTGATTGGTTCTACTCTCGTTCCGCGTTACGCTATTTCGCTGCATGGGTTTGCACCCTGAGGGAGGGTTCACACCTTGACGGAAAAACGGAAAGCGGAAAAGCAGTAGCCAATCAGGTAGTTAACTTTCTGTTAGTTTTGTACTATTTACTACCAGAGCGAGTTCTAATCGGTTATCTGCTCTTCCGCTTTCCGCTTTTCCGTCAAGGTGTGAACCCGGCCTGAGGATAGTTGGAGGAGTCTCGGATGTGATTGGCTAAGCTTACCTCGTTAAAGAGGACCAGGGCCAATTAAAGGCTGCTTTCCAGCTACGACACAAGTAGACACTGTGTAACACAGTGAATCATTGCATCCCTGCTGTTTGCCTGCGTTAAACGAGGATGAAACGATTCTCTGTGTTACACAGTGTCTGATTCTGTCCTTGCTGGAAAGCACCCAAATTTAGAAGAAGTATGTATAGAGCTCGCAGCTTAGTGCAATTGGTGCAATTCAAGAAGAAGAGAGGATGCACATGTGCACTTGAAGGAGAAGCAGAAGACAAATATTATCAATGTAAAGGGTGTATCTAAAAAAAACCGAAAAAATAGATTCTTGGACACGCATCGAAATCTGAGGCTGCGAAATCTTGAAAAAGAATCAGATCTGATTGTCAAATTGGATCAACAGGTCATCGTTGAGCATGGCCTTGCTACGACGGATCAAGCCAGCCTACAGACTCTTCGATGAAAGTGTTGCTGTCTTTCCGCGTAGAGGTAACGCTGTTTCATCTTTCAGAACATTCAACTCTTCGATCGTGTTCGCGAGACAACAACAAAAACCAGAGAGCAATAACAAAGTGAAGGACAATAACGACAGTCAGTTTGGCGGTGTCAAGAGCCTGTCGATTGACGAGGCGACAATTAGGAGGCTCGAGAGGCTAGCACTGGTCGGCTTCGAGTACAAACAGAGTAAACGGGTGCTAGAGGAAGCGATAGCTTTCGCCGAGCGGTTGCGGACAGCTCACATCGACGAGACGGTACATCCGATGTACAGCACCCTGGAGAACAATTGCATTTATCTGCGAGACGACGTGGTGCGACACGACGTCAATCGGCGCGAGATACTAAGTAACGCTGTGGTGTTAGAAGAGGAATACTTTGTTGCGCCGCTGGTGGCGAGCAAGAAGAAAGAAAGTGAGTCTACACAATGAGTCTGGAAGCTATACTAAAAACTGTCGGGTCGTGCTTCCTCAATCTATCTGAACGGATGTTCGTATATGGACCCCAAGGCAAGCTGCTGCTGAAAAACCTTGAGGAACACTGGTTCTCTCACTGTGTCACAATGCCACATTATAACGTGTTCCCATGTGATACAATTACGGATACATTGCAGCAACTGCGGAGCAACTCAATGGATGACATGTTACCATTTGCACTTGCCACACTGGGTACATCCAAGAGCATATGGAACGAATCCCTATTGTCAGTGGGTAAAGTACTGTCCCACAAAATCGCCAAGATTAATGTATTTGTTGAAGCGTCGGATTCAAAAAGTCTGCTGCACAAGAAGCAAAGAGAACGCAAAGTATGGTGGCGTAAACTTGCCCAGCATCCCTCAAGATTTGTACTCGCAGAGGCAAAGAAGACGAGGAATCTTGATGTAACGGAGATAGAGGCACAGTTTCCTTTTGGAAATATCATCGTGGAAACAATCACTTATTATCCCAGCGTACGCAAGTTATATCCTCAGGTATAATGAATTCTTATTAAAATGTTGGTAGCATTATGAAAAATAGAGAGAGAATTGTTTAAATGGGATATTTATTTACAGACTGAAAATAAAGATAATGTTATGGATGTGCATATGGTCGAGCATATCGCTTCCATGGATTGGGGCTGCTTGGCGTTACTCTGTGACAGTCATATGCTGGATAAATCAACTAGAGCCTACGTTCATCCTAAGTTATGCCCATATAAAATCACGTTCCATATAGAGAAACAGGAGAATAAGACTGATTCAGATATAGAAGACTTGAATCGCTTTGTGCTATACTTAAATAATATGCTTAGAACGAGAGGGATCTCTACCATATTGACGAATACAGAACAAATCATAGAAATGTGTCTAATACCATACGTCGTGTCAGTAGATAAGACTAGTCTTAAGAATGGCATTGTACATGTAAAAAATCGATCAACTACTCTTAGTGAGGCAGTTCACATTACTAACTTAGTAAAGTATATTAGAGAAACAACAATCTAAATCGAACAGTAATAAGATTTTTTTATATGTAAAGTAAATTTAAGTTTACAATGTTAGTATAACATAAAAATAAAGAATATAAAAAATATAATATCAAATTTTTTAGAACTCATGAATCCTACTTCAACGATTCTTGTAAACAAAGAGATGAATAATCTTACAGTTTAAGCGACATGGTGTGGTACAAATTATTTCGAAGAAATTAATTCTCCTGTTTTTATGTAAATGTGGAAATTATGTCTAAAGTAAGAAGTTCATTGTCAATATAATATAAAAGTAGTCAAGAGGTAAAACAGGATAAGTCATTTAAATGCAAATTGACAATTATTGTCTATTGTCAATTTTTGTATTACGTCAATTAATTAATTATTTGGTGATTAAACTTGAATTTTTTATTGGTTGTGTTTCTCACCATGTATGGTCCTATAAGATTTAATATCTTTTTAAATATTGAATTTCTTATAATGAAATGTGTGAAAACAGGAGCATCTTAACGTATTCGTCTAATTCTATTGAGTGCAAGTGTTACAATGATGACAGACGGACTCTAAGGGTAAAATCAGACTATGCATTGAAGATTGAGATTAAAAGCAGAAAATTGAAGAAGCACTACAGGATAGAAACACCTACTATAATAGATTACAGAATGCAATTCAATTAACAAAATATTGAAAAGAAACTAAATGATTTTTTAAAGAATTTGCTTAATAAAGATCTCATTACAAAAAAAGTTTACCTTTCACTACTTTCCAGTGACTCCAATTTACCTAAAATTTATGAATTATCAAAAATTCACAAAAAAAACCATTCCATACAGAATCATAATTTCCTCCGTTAACACAGCCTTATATCTTATAGCTGTCTTTTTACATTCTATGATTGCCTCTAGTACAGAGACAAATCCACGACAAACACACAACAACAGTTTTAAAGCTTTCAAATCATTAAATGGCACTGATATAGAAAATTCTGTTTTACTTTCACTCAACGTTATTTCTATGTTCGAATAGTATGAATATTCGTCTGGATCTTGCAATCAACAGCATTGAAAAAAGATGGCCTTTAATTTCAACTAAAACCAATATTATTTCAGACGATGATTTAGTTGAAATTAAAAAATTTATTTTTACTTTAATATCTTTTTTTCTTTCAACAACAAAATTTACAAACAAATTTTTAGGACACCTATGAGGTCCTCTTTGTTGCTGACTTTAGCTGAAATTGTTTTGCGAGATTTAGAGTAGAAAGCTTTAGATAAATTTAATTTAAATCCTACAATTTATCAGCGATACATTGATGACATCATTATTACTGCGCTAAGAGATCATATTAACAACATTCTCACGTTTTTAACAGCTTCCATAACAGGGTACAATTCACATTAGAAATTGAAAATGTCAGAGATGTTTAAATTTTTTAGATCTATTATTGAAGGTTGAGAATAATAAAATAATTATTGATTGGTTTCACAAAAAAACTTTCTCCGGTAGATAAGATCAATCTTTTTCAACCTCTGAGACAGAACTGTCCTTCTTTCTCATCATAAATTTAATTTAAAAAATATTTAATTTGTTATAAACATCCTCCTAAACAATTGCTATCTCTAATTTTTAATTGCATAAATAAAAGGATTAAAAAAATTATACATGAGAAATTAAACACACAGAATGTTGACAATGTGATCTCAGAAAATAGAAACAATAAAAAACTTTTTGTGATACTTTATATACCCAAAGTTTCATATTCTGTTACTTCATTTTTTAACAAATCAGTCTTCACAATTGATTACAGAATTTTAAATACATTAAGTTCCTTTATTAAAGTATACAAAGACAAACTTAACAAATTTCAAAGCCAGAAGTCGTCTATCAAATCAATTGTCAAGATTGTACTGCGTCTTATGAAGGACAAACGAAAAGACAACTCAAGACCCGTATAAATGGACATAGAAATAAAGCAAAGTTTTTCCAGACTCTCCGTCATCTCTGACAATAGATTAAATTATGATCACAATTGATTGGAAAAGAGTCTTAATCCTAGATATTGAAAAGAATTATCATAAAAGATCTCAGAGATGTTACGCATTAAAAAACAAAACAAAGACATCAACTCTTAAAAAGACACGAATAGTCTGGATGACTCTTATAGTTAATTAAAAAATGTCAAACAAATAAATAAATATCGTTCCGATGCCCTATAAGAGTCTGTCTGCCATCATTGTAAGACTTGTGCTCAGATAGAATCAGACGAATACATAAAGATGCTCTGTTTTCACACATTTTTTGTAAATAAGAAATTCAAGTTTAATCACCAAATAATTAATTAATTGACGTAATACAAAAATTGACAATAGACAATAATTGTCAATTTGCATTTAAATGACTTATCCTGTTTTACCTCTTTTATATTATATTGACAACAATGAATTTCTTACTTTAAACACAATTTTCACATTTACATAAAAACAGGAGAATCAATTTCTTCGAAATAATGTACCACAGCATGTCGCTTACACCGTAAGATTATTCATTTCTATGACTTTGTAACATCTTCAAGAATCGCTGAAGAAGGACCCGTGAGTTCCAAAAAGTTCGATATTATTAATTTTTTAATATTTTATATATTCTTTATATATTTTTTATTTTGATGTTATGTTATATTAACTAATTGTAAACTTAAATTTATTTTATATATAAAAAAATCTTATTACCGCTCAGTTTAGACTGTCATTTCTTTATACTATGCATTGCAAAAAATGAGCGAAATCTAATTAAAGTATATTAATTTGTGTTCTTCTTGAATTACTGTAGCGGTAATTCAACTGGATTTTTTTATCAATGTTTACAAGATATTGCTATCATGTAATTATATTTAATTATTAACTATATTTATTACTGACAGTTACAACGATATAAACACTGTAAATATAAATGAAAATTCTGCTTCTACGTTTTCTCTTTTTTTTATCCCTATTCTGTTTTTAAATTTTAAGATAAATAGCTAACTCAATCTTGTGTGGTAATGTACATTTCTTGAAATGAAGTACGTAAAATAAAATAGTAAAGGCAACTTAGATTTTCTCATCCTATGATAAGGAGACGCAGCACATGGCATCGTACGAGGGACGATGGAAGGAAGGAAGAAAGTTTGTGGAAAGGGGATGCCAGACAATTCATACTTTGTGGAAATGCACATCATTGTGCACATTTCATAAGCCTCCCATGATTGCCCGAATTTATCTCAAATTGGCGATGCCACAGAGACAGTTGAACAATTCTCCGATACAAAAGGATAATACTCTCAAGTGAAGCTAAGCAGGTAGTTGTAGCTTCTTGCCTTTGAGTACTTTGGTAATATAGAGGTAGAAAAAGTCACAATAGAGAACTGTCTGCACCAATCCGGCGACTATAGCGATCAAGTCGTAATGATCTTCGGCGTAGTAGCGGTAGACCCAGTTAAACAGATATAAGCCTCTGTATGATCCCAATGCGAACAAATAATGGCTGGTAATGCTTTCTGCTTCGCCCGTTTTCGATACCAGGAACAATTGCGGTAATATTGCCACTGACTCTAGATAAATGCTGAATGTCCACAAAACCTCGATGAAGGATAGCTCGTGATTGATCAGCAGTGCTAATATAAACGCTGGTAAAATCAGGAACTCGATCCTGAAACAGAAAGTTTCATCATCACATTTGCAATGGAAATACCAATTGAGAAATGTAATTTTAGGTCTGATCATTTTAATTAAACTTGCACTGTTTATCTTTTCTCCTTTTTTTGACTTATCGCCATTTCTACCAATGTAAATTAATTTTAATCTCACAATCAGTTTAACAGTTTTCTTTTCATCTTTTTCAATTCTTAAAACTACAAAAAGATGGAAAGCTAGCTGAAGTGAGATTATAATTACAACTACATTCATAGAAATAAACATCAGGCTTAGTTCCATCAATGTAAAAATACTTTTAATCAATTTAATTTATTGTTTATCTAATTCTCAGAATTAAAGGATAAGAAATTAAACTGAGAATAAATTTAAGTTAATCTTAACATTGGTGAAATTGGATCTTATATCCATTTCTACTAATGTAGATTAACTTTAATTTTGGTCTAACTTACTTTTTATCTTTCTGATTCTGCAAACCAGATAAGAAGTAAATTAAACATAGATTAAAGTTAATCTATACAAGTAGAAATAGACATTAGAAGTAAAATCTGATTTATGGAAGTCATAACTATAGATCTGTTCTTTTTAACTGAACTTGCAATTTTTCCTTTTTCTTTTTAATGTGAAAAGAAAAAGATGAACCATGAAAGAAGTTCAGCTAAAAAGAACAGGCTTTGTTAATTTATAATAAAACTGATAAAGTTGAATACAATGATTTCAACACTTTTATTAAATTCATAATATTATAATAATAATTATATGAACGAAAGCATCGAAATCATTCTCTTGAATTTTAGGATTTTATTGATTACGGTTTCTGTAAATCAGGTTAAAAGAAAGAAATGAACTATGCAAGAAGTCGAACTAAAAAGAACAGGCCTATTGACAGAAATTGTGGAGTCTTACCTGAACGTGTCATGATTATGATCATACGTAGCTTTGAACTTAATGTACATCAAGAAAATTGTGGCGAGAGACGCAGCAATGAATACGATCTTCATGAATGTGTTGTATGCCGAGATGAATGTGGTGAACAGGTCTAAATAACGGGTAGTATAAACAATCGCGAAGAGGATCTGTGATTTGCCGCTAATACCTGCAAACAGTTGAAACATCGATAATCGCTGTTAGTTGAGGGTGAAACGTCAGCAATGTTCGATCGTAACACATTGAACTCATCGCGAACACGAGCGTTCCTGAACAAAACGATTAAGGTGATCCGACTCACCGGCGCAGCTCCGTGTCTTCCATATCTTTAAAAGTAGTATGATAATGGCTAAAAGATGCGATAGATCGCCCAGCAGTCGGAATATATTCATGTTTGCGGTCGCGGGGATGTGACTTTACGTAGAAAAACCCGCGGGGGAAGATAAAGAGCCAGCTCGTAGCTCGCTCGACAGCGGCACACAAATATGACGTGGCTCTGGCTGTGGTTACAGCAGATGGCCGACCCCCCGGAATCAGGTTGAGTACTCCGATCCCGATGTTGACATCGAATCATAAGGAGAGCGAGAGACATCTAGAGAGGGAACTTGCGGTGCATCGTGTGATTTTTTTGCCATGTCGAATTGGCGAATCTAAGGAGCCTACAGACCAGAGCGGCGCAGCGGTGAAGCGGCGAGCGATAGCCAATGAGAGCCATGCTCTGGTCTGTAGGCTCCTTTAATGATTCTGTGATTGGAGATCCGCTAATCTGCTTACGCATGAACCGCTCCACGGGATATTAAGGATAAAATTGTGTGACAAAATTGTAGTTATAAGTGACTGTAGTTGTAAGAATTAATTAATCACAGTCGACTTATTTTTTCTTATTTGACTGTGATTGGTTAACGCCTATTTTACAATGATCGAAATGCTGGATTCACACTGCATCAGAAAAATCGTATCATCGATACGAAGCAAAATTTTGTTTTCTGATTGGTTGCAGAGTCGTCGTACGACGAAAATCGGATGAGTGTGAAGGCTGCTTTTACATGCAGCGTAACTTGCGTCAGCCAATCAAATTGTCTCAATTAGAATATGGCGTAGGAGTTGATACAATTTGATACGGTTTGATTGGTTGACGCAAGTTACGCTTACACAAGTTAGGATTGATTTATACTGGCCGTAATCTGTAAAAATTGACCAATCACAGTCGAATGAGAGGGGAATAATCGATTATAGTTATACCTTAAGGGTTGGATTATACTGGCTGTAATCTGTTAACTTATGCCGTAATCTGTAAAAATTGACCAATTATAATCGATTATTCCCTTCTCATTCGACTGTGATTGGTTAATTTTTACAGATTACGGCATAAGTTAACAGATTACGGCCAGTATAAATCAACCTTTAAGCGGGGAGCACAGACTTTTGCACAACGCATAAACCATATACATAAAGAATTTGATTGGTCCATTGACTCATGCATAAGAAAATGGACCAATGAAATTCCTTATGCACATGCTTTATGCGTTATGCAAAAGTCTGTGCTCCCCGCTTTACGCTGCATGTAAAAGCAGCCTGAATCCAGCATATGCGCAACAGATTTGCTTCCACAAAAGTGGTGGGGTTCAACGTTTTTCTAACGGTAGAGCCGGTAGAGGGACTGAGAGGTACGTTGCCAGAGCCAGGATGATAAGTGTCGTAGTGGTAGTGTGCTATCTGCGGTGTTGGAAATGGTTGGAAGTTGGAAGTCTTTCGTGTGAGCTCCTGTGAATTGCAGCAAAATGGCGACGTCCGATTCTAAAGCATCTTTACGGACGGTGAAACGCGTCCAATTCGGGATTCTCTCGCCCGACGAGATAGTAAGTAGGCTGTATGATAACTCGTAATACTTTCGAGGCAGAATTGGAACTCCTTCCAGGAATTAAATGGCGCAATTTCATGCAACACACGTACCTACCCATCACATTGATTTCGCGGGATGGAATGTACAAATGTAATTTCTTCGACAGCTTCTACGTCGAAACGTTTCTCTTAGATATCATGGGACTCATGACAATTGATTTTAATACTACCTGTAATATCTGATGCATAAAGAATTAAATTCCGCTTAGAATATTGATGATGTATTAGTGCCTATATATGTATGTTAGGTCTGTCATACTTTTGTAACATTCATTATTGAGAAGTATTATTGAAAATAAAGTTATGGAAAGTATATCAGAGAGGGAAGGAAATATAAATGTAAATGAATATAACTAATTTTATTTATATTTAACATGTATATGTAACTACTTGTATATGTAACTACTTGTTTGCGTTCTGTTGTAAGAAAACTATATGATATGCCAATGAAGATTCTTGATGTATTTGTTTTTTATGTAAAGCTTCCTCAAAATACCAATTACTTTTTAATCTGGTTTTACAATTATTAAATTTGTCAAGCCTGTTGATTGACTGTAGAATACAGAGATCTGTTAATGTTATTATACATTAGGCTTGTTTTTCTTAACTGAATGATTTATCTTTCTCCTTTCTCTTTTTTAAACAAAATAGTAAAATACCTATAAAGATATTAGATTATTAAATATGAAATGTCTTTCATATTGTTATTTTTGTTCATTTTAACAAAGTTAGAGCTACTATTAATATAGTAATACAAAAACTGGGCATTTCATACTTAATGACCTAACAATATCAACTTATTTTTTTTGTATAAAATATATTGGTAGTAGTCGAATGATCTGTTTGATAATTTGATAAATGATTAAAAAAAAGTTGAGATTTCATATAACATCTCGGTTAAATTTAAATTTATTACAAAAAAACATGAATTGTTACACTTTTGTGCAGCGTCGTATGTCAGTCACTGATGGCGGCATACGATTTCCTGAAACTATGGAGGGCGGCCGCCCTAAACTGGGCGGTCTCATGGACCCGAGGCAAGGTGTTATCGACAGAAACTCCAGATGTCAAACTTGTGCTGGTAACATGACTGAATGTCCTGGACATTTTGGTCATATAGATCTAGCCAAACCAGTATTTCATGTGGGATTTATTACAAAAACTATAAAGATATTGAGATGTGTGTGTTTTTACTGTTCCAAACTACTTGTCAACCCTGTAAGTATTTGTTATTCAAGAAATGTTATAGAAATGCTATTTTTATAAAAGATTCCTCTATATCCAGAAGTTTTTGTATTTAATTGACTTATTCACATTCTGTATTTTACTGAAAATTTATAATTGTCGAGATTTAAAATTGATTAAGAAATTGATTTTGAAATAAAATATAAATTATAAAATATAGATTATTAAAATAATAATAATAAATCTTTTATGTCTTCAAAAAGATTGATAATCAGATTATCTTATTGTTATCTTTAAGTGATAAGTTATCTTAAAGATAAAACTAAAGGAACTTTTCAGAACATTAATCCTTTTTTTCTGTTATTTTCAGCATAATCCAAAGATAAAAGAAATCGTGATGAAGACGAAAGGACAGCCGCGGAAGCGACTCGCATTCGTTTATGATCTATGCAAAAGTAAGAACATCTGTGAAGGCGGAGATGAAATGGACATTAACAAGGAGAGCACGGAGAACCAGACACAAATGGATAGAAAACCGGGTCATGGTGGTTGTGGTAGATATCAGCCTAATCTTAGGCGATCTGGTTTGGATGTCACTGCAGAGTGGAAGCACGTAAATGAAGATTCACAAGACAAGAAGATAATTCTCTCGGCCGAAAGGGCCTGGGAGATCTTGAAACACATTAAGGATGAAGAATCTTTTATCTTGGGCATGGACCCGAAATTTGCACGGCCAGATTGGATGATCGTTACCGTACTGCCGGTGCCACCACTGTCTGTTAGACCTGCAGTTATTATGTACGGTTCCGCTAAGAATCAGGACGATCTGACACACAAACTGGCAGACATTATCAAATCAAATAATGAGTTAGTACGAAATGAACAGTCCGGCGCAGCGGCACACGTAATTTCTGAGAATATAAAGATGCTACAGTTTCATGTGGCGACGCTCGTCGACAACGATATGCCTGGTATGCCCCGGGCGATGCAGAAGTCGGGCAAACCGCTTAAAGCGATCAAGGCCCGATTGAAGGGAAAAGAGGGTAGAATTCGTGGGAATTTGATGGGTAAACGTGTGGACTTCTCTGCACGTACTGTTATCACTCCTGATCCCAATTTACGTATTGATCAAGTAGGCGTACCGCGCAGTATAGCCCAAAATCTGACATTCCCTGAGATTGTGACACCCTTCAACATCGATAAAATGCAGGTGCTAGTCAGGCGTGGCAATTCGCAATACCCTGGCGCGAAATACATAGTACGCGACAATGGCGAAAGAATTGATCTGCGTTTCCATCCCAAGTCCTCGGATCTACATCTGCAATGTGGCTACCGAGTGGAACGACATATCCGCGATGGCGATCTCGTGATCTTTAATCGTCAGCCCACTCTACACAAAATGAGTATGATGGGTCATCGTGTTAAGGTGCTTCCATGGAGCACATTCCGCATGAATCTGAGCTGCACATCACCGTACAATGCTGATTTTGATGGGGATGAAATGAATTTACATGTTCCACAGTCGATGGAGACACGCGCGGAGGTTGAAAATATTCATGTGACTCCACGACAGATTATTACCCCACAGGCAAATAAGCCGGTTATGGGAATTGTACAGGATACTCTGACAGCAGTCAGGAAAATGACTAAGCGTGACGTGTTTATCGAGAAGGAGCAAATGATGAATCTACTCATGTTCCTGCCCAGCTGGGATGGCAAGATGCCGCAACCATGTATCCTGAAACCGAAACCGCTGTGGACTGGCAAACAACTGTTCTCTCTCATTATACCAGGTAACGTGAATATGATACGGACGCACAGCACACATCCTGATGAAGAAGATGATGGTCCATATAAGTGGATCTCACCAGGTGATACAAAGGTAATGGTGGAACATGGAGAACTTGTGATGGGCATTCTCTGTAAGAAGACCCTTGGTACTTCGGCCGGTTCTTTGCTTCATATTTGTATGCTCGAACTGGGTCATGAAGTGTGCGGACGCTTTTATGGTAATATCCAAACTGTCATCAACAATTGGCTATTATTGGAGGGTCATTCAATTGGTATTGGTGACACTATTGCCGATCCGCAGACATATTTGGAGATTCAGAAGGCGATCAAGAAGGCCAAAGAGGACGTAATAGAGGTGATTCAAAAGGCACATAACATGGAACTTGAACCTACACCTGGTAACACACTTCGTCAGACTTTCGAGAATCAAGTAAACAGGATACTGAACGACGCTCGAGACAAGACCGGAGGCTCCGCTAAGAAGTCCTTGACAGAATACAATAATTTGAAGGCCATGGTAGTATCAGGTTCAAAGGGTTCCAACATCAACATCTCTCAGGTTATCGCTTGTGTGGGTCAGCAAAACGTTGAAGGTAAGCGGATACCCTTTGGTTTCCGTAAGAGAACGCTGCCACATTTCATCAAGGATGACTATGGACCAGAATCTCGTGGTTTTGTCGAGAATTCGTATCTCGCTGGTCTCACACCTTCAGAATTCTACTTTCACGCAATGGGCGGTCGTGAAGGTCTTATCGATACCGCCGTGAAGACGGCTGAGACTGGTTACATTCAGCGTCGTTTGATAAAGGCTATGGAATCAGTGATGGTGCATTATGATGGTACCGTACGTAATTCCGTCGGTCAATTGATTCAGCTGCGTTATGGAGAGGACGGTCTCTGCGGCGAGACCGTGGAATTCCAGAATCTACCAACAATCAAGGTGAGCAATAAGGCTTTCGAGAAGAAATTCAAGTTCGATCCCACCAATGAGCGATACTTGCGGCGTATATTTAACGAGGACATCGTCCGAGAGATGATGGGTTCCGGTGAAGTGATCTCCGAACTAGAAAGAGAATGGGAACAGTTGAACAGGGATCGTGCTGTACTCCGTGAAATCTTTCCGAGCGGAGAATCCAAAGTTGTACTACCCTGTAATCTGCAGAGGATGATTTGGAATGTGCAGAAGATTTTCCACATCAATAAGCGAGCGCCGACCGATCTCAGTCCAATGAGAGTGATCCAAGGCGTTAAGAATCTTCTAGAAAAGTGTATCATCGTTGCCGGGGATGACAGACTGAGCAAACAAGCGAACGAGAACGCAACATTACTGTTCCAGTGTTTAGTAAGATCGACTTTATGCACCAAGTGCGTCTCCGAGGAGTTTAGGCTGTCCAGTGAGGCCTTCGAATGGTTAATTGGAGAAATCGAGACAAGATTCCAGCAGGCTCAGGTATCACCCGGCGAAATGGTCGGCGCATTGGCGGCGCAGTCTCTCGGCGAGCCTGCCACACAGATGACTTTGAACACTTTTCACTTTGCTGGTGTATCATCGAAAAATGTAACCCTTGGTGTGCCCAGATTGAAAGAAATCATCAACATTAGCAAGAAACCGAAGGCGCCATCACTCACAGTGTTTCTGACGGGCGCTGCCGCGCGTGATGCCGAGAAGGCAAAGAATGTCCTTTGTCGATTAGAACACACGACGTTGAAAAAGGTGACGGCAAATACGGCGATATATTACGATCCAGATCCACAGAACACAGTAATTGCAGAAGATCAGGAGTTCGTCAACGTGTATTACGAGATGCCTGATTTTGATCCTACAAAAATATCGCCGTGGTTGCTGCGAATAGAGCTGGATAGGAAACGAATGACTGACAAGAAGTTAACAATGGAACAGATCGCGGAAAAGATCAACGCTGGTTTTGGTGATGATCTGAACTGCATATTCAATGATGATAACGCCGAAAAGTTGGTACTGCGCATCAGAATAATGAATAGTGACGACAACAAGTTCCAGGACACGGACGAGGAGACTGTAGATAAGATGGAGGACGATATGTTCCTCCGCTGTATCGAAGCCAACATGCTTAGTGATATGACTCTACAGGTACGTTGGAATTTAAAATAACAATGTCAATTATGTTAATTTTTCATGAATTTGTTTAATCACTGTTATTAATTAGCTTAATGTAGTTATAGAGAAAATTATTAAAATTATTTTTATACGTTCTATTAAATGTTTCAGGGTATTGAAGCTATCGGAAAAGTTTACATGCATCTACCACAAACGGATTCTAAAAAACGCATTGTTATCACGGAAACTGGTGAATTCAAGGCCATCGCAGAATGGCTCTTGGAAACCGACGGGACAAGCTTGATGAAAGTATTGAGCGAGAGAGATGTTGATCCCGTACGGACGTTCAGCAATGATATTTGTGAAATATTCCAAGTGCTCGGCATCGAAGCCGTGCGAAAGTCAGTAGAAAAAGAAATGAATGCAGTGTTGCAGTTCTATGGTCTTTATGTCAACTATCGACATCTCGCCTTGCTTTGTGATGTCATGACGGCAAAGGGTCATCTTATGGCGATAACACGTCATGGAATTAATAGACAAGACACCGGTGCTTTAATGAGGTAAACGAGTCTTGCTTTTCATTGGGATTTTTGAGATGTATATATATTCCGTAATAATAGAGAAAAGGTAATCGATCAAAAATTAATAAAAATTTGAATTTCTTTAGGTGTTCCTTCGAAGAAACGGTGGATGTATTGTTGGATGCTGCATCTCACGCAGAGGTAGATCCAATGAGAGGAGTATCCGAAAATATTATAATGGGACAACTTCCCCGAATTGGAACAGGTAACGTACGATATGATGTTTTATAGTACAAGAAATATTACAAATACATTATGAAATTGCATTTTAATTTCTATTTACAAGTCTGTCTTGTGAAGAAATGTAAAGAAAATATTAAGGTTTTTTTTTTTTTTTTTCAGATTAAGTTTATGATCTGCAAAAATTTAAAATAACTATATATATTATAATAATGATAAAATATCAATGATTTTATGTTGTATGTTTAGGATGCTTTGATCTGTTACTGGACGCGGAGAAATGTAAGTCTGGTATCGAAATTCCTATGGCAGTTGGGGCAGGTATGATGGGAACAGCAGGAATGTTTTTCGGCAGCGTAACTGGCATGTCCAGTATGAGCCCTCAAATGACTCCTTGGATGGGAGCTACTCCTGGTTATGGCGCGTCGAATATGTCGCCAGGTAAGTGATATATATAATTTCAAAATAAAAATCTGCGAAATGTGCATTAAACATTATTAACAATTATTCTCTTTTATTTTACAGCTTTGAGCAGCGGTATGACGCCAGGTGGTGCATGTTTCTCGCCATCGGGAGCATCAGACGCATCCGGCTTATCGCCAGCATACTCTGCTTATTCACCGCAGCCGGGAAGTCCCGGTAGTCCAGGTCCAAGTATGAGTCCATTCCCAATGTCACCTGCTGGTGCGGCATCACCTAGTTATTCTCCAACGTCGCCAGCGTATTTACCTACATCGCCTAGCATGACACCGTCGAGTCCGAATTATTCACCTACAAGTCCAACTTATTCACCGACCAGTCCAAATTATTCACCGACATCGCCAAGCTATTCTCCGACAAGTCCGAGTTATTCGCCAACTTCACCGAGTTATTCGCCAACAAGTCCAAGTTATTCGCCCACATCTCCAAGTTATTCGCCAACGAGTCCGAGTTACTCCCCTACTTCGCCAAGCTATTCACCGACCAGTCCGAGTTATTCGCCTACGTCACCGAGTTATTCGCCAACTTCGCCGAGTTACTCGCCAACGAGCCCGAGTTATTCCCCAACATCGCCGAGTTATTCCCCAACAAGTCCAAGTTACTCGCCCACGAGTCCAAGCTATTCGCCTACGAGTCCAAGTTACTCGCCAACGTCGCCGAGCTATTCACCAAGTTCGCCCAACTACACACCTGCTTCACCCTCGTATTCGCCCACTTCACCCAGTTATTCACCAAGCTCGCCGCAATACTCGCCCGCGAGTCCGAGTTATTCTCCGAGCAGTCCCAAATATTCACCGACGAGCCCAAGTTATTCCCCTACCTCACCATCGTTCGCCGGTACATCGCCGCAATACACACCTGCGAGTCCCACATACTCGCCAACCAGCCCGACATATTCACCTACAAGTCCGTCGTATTCACCGAGTTCGCCACAGCATACTACATCTGGTAGCACAAGATATTCACCCAGTAGTCCAAACTATTCGCCTACCAGTCCAACATATTCGCCCACAAGTCCACAGTACTCGCCATCAAGCACCAAATATTCGCCTACAAGTCCTACCTACACTCCTACAAGCCCGAGTTATTCCCCGACGAGTCCGACGTACTCGCCGCCCGTACCCGGATACTCGCCCACGAGTCCCACATACTCGCCAGCGTCACCCGCTTACGAGACGGACGACTAATTTTAAGTTTTTTTTTTTTCGTAAATTATATTTAGATACTTATTTTTTTAAATAAGTTAATTATAAGCCCGATCATTGTAATTATCGTGATTACACATAGTTACAAATAAACTTGACGTACATGTTTGTTAAAATATTTCTTATGTAACCTGTTTGGTACTGAATAAGTTAAATATAACATGATACTTATTCATCATGTCAAAAATTCAAAAGGAAAAGTAAGAAAAAATTAAAAAGAAAATAATTATCAATTAAAAATGTATAACCGATAATTTTTCGGCTGTTAATTACAATTGACATATAGTGCGCAGATTACGATGCGCTTTCGCCACTCGTACCAGGAAGGTTGTGACAAATATAATGACAAGAGTGAAGTACACGTTATCGGAAACTGAAGTACATGTTACGGAAAGTTTGAGTGTTATAAGCGAGTATGTTAAGTCGTATGTTATAAGCATATACATATGTAAAAGTATCTTAGGGACCAGGGAATTTTGTAAGTCAACAAATCGATAAAACCAATGAACTATTGAACGAGGATTATATTGATGTAAGAAATGCGTAAAAATTCAAGATCATTTGTATATGCGTCTTTATTACAACTAGTATTACGATTATTGTCGTAGAGATATATCTTTAGCAAGCTGCACGATATCAAGGCTATATTTTATCAATATTTAATTTATTGAATGGATATTGAGATCTGTGATTTTATTAGAAGCATGTAAAAGTGAAAATTTTAATTTATTAAAGTGAAACTGTTGCTGTTATCCATCATTAATATATTTTTGTTTATCTTATTACAACAATGATCATTTTTATTTGCCCGGAGTATATCAATACACACACACAGTGTTAAAGTTTCTCACAAATAAATTCAAAGATACATATATAGAAAAAAATTAATAAAATCACTGACAATATTTTAAAGTACATTGTAAAGTAGATAGATGAGGATACAAAGCTTTTAAAAAAAAATCTATATCGAGTTAATAAGAAAATGTGAATGATGTAAGTTCCCAGTCGCCTAAAAGTAATATAACATCTATGTGTTATAAAATTTCATACTCAATAATATAAATATAATAACTATTTCACGATGGTTATACAGAATGTTTGAGAATATTGTAATAGCGACACAGTAACAATTGTTGTAGTAACATCATTTTTTAAGTTTAATGCTGAAGATGATTCAAACTGAAGTCGAAACGTACAAATTTATGTATTATTTGTTAAAATTATTTTCCACAATATAAACAACCTGCGGATGACTTATATGGCCTTATATATTACATTATTCTTTTTTATTTTATTAATTAAATTTTATTATTAATTAAGTTTTATTGTATTAATTAAAGGAATCTAAATTTATGAATTTAATTAATTATTATAAATATATAATAATATATATGATATTGCATAACAGTTATACATTTAGGTCAATTGGATAGATTTCTCACTCTTAGAAGTCCATTCTTTTAAGTTTTCGCATAAATTGTTGAGTCTGAAATCCATGGGATAGAACAAGGAAAACAGTTATACATCAATGAAAGTAAAATTGTATAGATGTTATGTTACTTTTAGTTAGTCTCGGTTAAGTGATATATAGTTATTTGATACTTTAACACATGATTTTATTGACAAATCGTTTTAAAAATAAATAGTTGTGATTTCAAGAACAGCAACCCCTATAAGTATTAGTCAAAGTAAAACATAGTATTTCAAGCTCTATATTCCTCTATTGTTTAGTTTGCTCCATCGACAGCTTGCTAAATACGAAAGTCATATACATTGTAGGTCTTCCTACGGCTCTCCCATTCCAGCTAAGTCACTCGTGTTCGATATCGGTATCGGATTACCTTTGTGCTGTGGTGCGGTGCGCACCGTGGTGAAAACCGGTCCAGATTCTTACTACGAACATCGTGTGCCCTAGTACCGCGGCATTACGAGTGAACAACATGAATCCTGCAAGTGCAACATCATGGAAAAACGGAAATTCGGGGCTGTCATTGCTCTTTGCCACTTTGTGCATTATTGATATTTTCGGCGTATTCCCGATTATTGCATTACCACGATCGATCGTCCAGTGCGGTGAGATCTCACTGCAATTTTTTATCAGGATAAGAGAAGTTTCTGATAGGCGGTTACATAAAATGTTTTACAAAAAAATCAAACATCTTGAAAAATCTAATTTTTCCTAATGAATTTGAAATATTAAGAGATTCGTATGAGAAACTCTTTGTAACAAAAAAGAGGTTTGATTGATTGCAACAAGTGTTTATAACAATATATATTTGTGATGACGTTATATGGAGCGATAAGTTAATTTTAATTAATAAAGAATATCGTGTAATACTTATTGTTTCTTGTGTTGATCCAGCAATAAAAGCACCAGCATAAATTGTTTGTTTATTAATATTCCCTTATATTTCGTTTTATTTGTATTGATGAATCATGATATCCTTAAATTAAAAAATTATATTAGATATATATACACACATACACGCATATATATATATATATAT